GCTTGACTGCTTTAGGACCTTCTCATCCTCAGATCTGCTCAGCACTGGATAGAGAAGAGATTTTACATTCTTGAGAAATTTAACCACTTGATAGCAGTCCCCTCATTAGGCCAGCGAGGAAGCGATTCCATAGAAGGCTGTCCTGGGCCATTTTGCTGCTGGTGATGAGGAGTCAGAATTGCAGAATTATCAACCCAAAAATAGATTTCCTTTATTAAATACATACAGAGAGGGTTGTATTTTTTTGAACTATGACTCCATGCTATGCTCTTCTTCTAGGTCAGATAAAAATAATTCTTCGTAGAGTCTTTTCTTCAAGGCCACACGTTCTAAAGACAAACTGTGACGGCGGACAAGCCTGGCAGTCGCCATGTGTTTTCACAACCCTTATTTCCCCCGATTGTACGGTGCAACTCTCCACGGGACGAATGTTGTTAAATTACAAAATGTTACCTACACTCTCAGGGACAAGCTGACATTTTACCGTCATCACACAATCTTCGCAGGAGGAATCCTGCGCTTCTATGATGCCCTCCTCCCCCCACTTTAGAGATTTGCGGAGAGAGGTGCCTCTATGCTCCGATCTGAGTCCCTAAGACAGATGTCAGATTAATTACAGGCTCACAAACATCCCGACCTCTCCTCTAGCGGATAATGAAAACGCAGTCACTGTTATTAGGCAAAAAAAAAGCTTTTTGTTGGGGGGGGGGCATGAAAATGCGATCGCTTAGATCAGGCGGGCAGAATCTGCAGATTGTGTGATGGACGGAAAACTCAAAGAACGGCTGATGCGTGAAATGACGAGGGAATTATCCGCTCCGAATCTGCTGCCGTGACCTGCGGCTCCGCAGCAGCATGGAATCAAACATTTTATTAAATTGCTAAACTAGACATTTATGTGGCTCCTATCTCCACAGTGATTAGCTGGAATAGGATTCATTGTACAAAGTTCACTGCACAAGGGAAGGAATGTTAGGTAACACAGAGGAACGACAGAATCACAGAAGAATCTTAATGGGGATCTTAATAGGGAAGTATTGTGCTAGTATACTGGAATAGGAACTAGAAGAGCCATGCTATAACCCCATCAGACCTCAGTAAATTGAACTGTATGTACATAAACAGATACAGAGCCACGTGTAACTAAGCCCAAGAACAATAATTGAATATATTGCAGCTTACCAGACCTTTTGCATTCGATTTCTTGTCGAAGGCTTTTTCCGCTTTTATTTTCACCTGAGGATCCTGCTAGTAACAGATTTCCTGTCCTAGGGTGAAAATGCTCACTTACTGTTCTGTATCTGTGAAGGAGCAACGTCGTCACCCTTAGGGCAGGAAGTGTGAGGACTGCAGAACAACTCCACTCGTCTCACCTCCAGGAGATGTACTGGGCATGGCTGTTAAGACTGCTTGAGATATGACTGCAGAGTGCACAGGAAGTCATTTTTTGTACAGTTATAACAAAATACTTTCAATGGTATGTTTAACAGAAAGAAGGGGAGCAAATACGAGAAGTTTCTTGTTCGTTTATATAAAGGGATGGACCGATACCTGTTTCTCGGTATCGAGTACGAGTACTGATATTTATATTTCGGTACTTCCGTTAGCATGGAGCCGGCTTCCCGGGCAATCAAGAAGCCAGGCGGTGGGTAATGACGCACCGCCCACTTTCTTGATTGCCTAGGAAGCTGGCTCCATGCTGTTTGGCTGGCTCCATGCTGATTGGCCGTGAAGCCGGCTTCCCAGCTAATCAGCATCGAAACGGCTTAACAGCATGGAGCCGCCTACCTGGCCAATCGCAAAGCCGGGAGGCGAGACATTACCCGCCGCCCGGCTTCCCGATTGGCCGGGAAGCCACTTCTATGTTCCCTCGCAGCACTTCCAGTCAGGGGAAATCTCACTCTGATCGGAAGTTCTGGTATCTGCGGTAAGTATAGGCGCATTTGGGCGAGTACAAATACTCACCCAAATACTCAGTATCGGCACCAATATTAGTATCGGTACATCCTAGTTTATATACACTTTTAAATCCAGGTGTAGAGAGATGTCTGTTGCCCAACCTGCGGTCCTTGGTTGCTTACTGCCGGTCCTTGGGCTTCATCAGCCATTCAGTGTTTTCTCTGCCTCGGTATAAGAAAAATATTCAATAGACTAGTGAGTACTAGTTAAGGGTTTTGGTTTATTCTTTTTTCATTGTTCATTTCCTTTGCTCTTTTGTTGAATTCTGATCTTGTTGAATGTGACACTGGTTATTTTAAAGGAAGCTGTAGAGAGCACAAATGTGAGAGCACTGATCTGTAAAGCTACTGCAATGGCAGTGATCTCCAGGTTCTCCAACTGTCTCTTGCAGTATGTCCATAGTCTCCAACTTAGAGAAAATCTCTTGATTTGTCAAAGTCTCCTGCAACATGTCCATTGTCTTCAAACACTCCTGTAGCTTCTATAGAATGTTCCCAGTCTCCACCTTAGAGAAAATCTCTTGATTCTCAAAGTTTCTTGCAGCATGTCCATAGTCTCCATCCACTCCTGTAGCTTTTATATCATATTCCCATTCTCCACCTTAGAGAAAATCTCTTGATTCTCAAAGTCAAAGTTTCTTGCAGCATGTCCATAGTCTCCATCCACTCCTGTAGCTTTTATATCATGTTCCCATTCTCCACCTTAGAGAAAATCTCTTAATTTGTCAAAGTAAAATTTCCAAATCAGCTTGCAATCAAAGGTTTCCCACAATTTCAGCTTTTTTGCTTGTTACTTGTATCCTGAAGTCATGTAAATGTTTTAAACTGCTATGCTAAATAAAAGAACAACTTACAGGAAACATAATATCTGAATTTATGTGTCTTTGCCTATGCCTTCATAACACCATGACTAGACTGGAGCAGAGAAAAAAAATCCCAGTACATCATAAAAGCCGTGGTGTATTTTTGTGGATGAGAACTCTGCAGCCAGGACCTGATGAGAAGGAGAAATGGCTGCATAGTGTTCTTTACAACCCCTAAGTACACTTACTGTAACTGCAGGTGGCCTCAGATTCGTCACTTCCATCAGGGCACTCTTCCTCCCCATCACACTTCCAGCGAGCCATGATACAATGACCATTGTCACAGGTGAAGTCAGTCTCTGCACAAGTGGCTTTGGCTGTAAAAAAAAACAAAACACAAGATATGTCATGTCTATGAAATAAGAGGATTAAACTGTAAAGGCTTTCTTAAAGCAGTGTTTCCCAAAGTGTGGGATGTGTACAATGATGGTACCCCACATCACTCTAGGTGGCCCATGCCAAGGAGACCACACTGTAGGCTCAGAGTGATGGATACTATAGGGCAGATGAAGATATAGAGTAAACCTAAAACTGAACTGCAGCTAGACCTTTAGTCTTACACACCTGTACAGGCTCCTTTCCTATACTGAAATTGTTTACTCCAATTTCACTGAACACTGTGAGCTTCCCACGATGTGCATTATAAGCTTTAATGCACAACTATAGTGAGGTCATCATTGTATTGTCATAGACCACCACTATAGTGAGGTCATCATTGTATTGTCATTGAACACCACTATAGTGAGGTCATCATTGTATTGTCATAGAATACAACTATAGTGAGGTCATCATTGTATTGTCATAGAATACAACTATAGTGAGGTCATCATTGCATTGTCATAGAATACAACTATAGTGAGGTCATCATTGTATTGTCATAGAATACAACTATAGTGAGGTCATCATTGTATTGTCCTAGAATACCACTATAGTGAGGTCATCATTGTATTGTCATATAACACCACCATAGTGAGGTCATCATTGTATTGTCATAGAATACAACTATAGTGAGGTCATCATTGTATTGTCATGGAACACCACTATAGTGAGGTCATCATTGTATTGTCATAGAATACAACTTTAGTGAGGTCATCATTGTATTGTCATAGAATACAACTATAGTGAGGTCATCATTGTATTGTCATAGAATACAACTATAGTGAGGTCATCATTGTATTGTCATAGAATACAACTATAGTGAGGTCATCATTGTATTGTCATAGAATACAACTATAGTGAGGTCATCATTGTATTGTCATAGAATACAACTATAGTGAGGTCATCATTGTATTGTCATGGAACACCACTATAGTGAGGTCATCATTGTATTGTCATAGAATACAACTTTAGTGAGGTCATCATTGTATTGTCATAGAATACAACTATAGTGAGGTCATCATTGTATTGTCATAGAATACAACTATAGTGAGGTCATCATTGTATTGTCCTAGAATACCACTATAGTGAGGTCATCATTGTATTGTCATATAACACCACCATAGTGAGGTCATCATTGTATTGTCATAGAATACAACTATAGTGAGGTCATCATTGTATTGTCATGGAACACCACTATAGTGAGGTCATCATTGTATTGTCATAGAATACAACTATAGCGAGGTCATCATTGCATTGTCATAGAATACAACTATAGTGAGGTCATCATTGTATTGTCATAGAACAACACTATAGTGAGGTCATCATTGTATTGTCATAGAATACAACTATAGTGAGGTCATCATTGTATTGTCATAGAACAACACTATAGTGAGGTTATCATTGTATTGTCACACATGCTCAACCTACTTGCCAACAAAGGTCTCCAACGATCTATATGAACACATCCCTTGAGGAGCCATTTCTGGGTCATAACATGGATATTTGTTGTGTAACTAATGCATATACTAGGAATGCGTTCAAAGCGAGCCATAACAATTTGGCTTTTACTTGTTATCCCAGGCAGACATGTCATGCTGACACTTTCACGCATGTCATCGTCGCCAAGTCACATGTGATACGGTCTATCATGCGCAGTTCTGCTTTTTAAAGTTCATAAGAGGCAGCAGGGAAATTGATTGTTGGGCTGGCAGTATAATGGTGTGTCTGATACTGCAGTGCACCGCTTTCTACATCTTTTATTCAACTTCCACTCAGGATACAGCAAAAAAACATAGGCAGAGCATCAAAGGAAAATATCAGCGTCTGAAAAATGCAGAATAACCAATGTATTTGCAATTCCACCGCCAACTGTGAACTTCAGTCTGAACAGAGTGAAATCACGCTATACTATATTCCGCTCTACCACTCATTTTCGGCATGGAAAAAAACACTGGGAGACAGGGAGATGTGCTCAAAGAGAAGACGAAAGACACAAAGAAGTACATTCGGATAAGGAAGAGTGTGTGAAGGGATGAGAAGGAAAAATGGAGGGAGAAATTAGAAAAAGTAGAGGATGATATTGGTGACGTTCTGCAGCCAAACATACAGATTTGAGTTGCGTACACATGAACTTTGTTAGCAGCCAAAGGATTTGTACTGCCAGACAGTACAGCTTGGTCAATGACCTCACTTTTCTGCTACTACATTTAAGCAATAGAGCTTGGACACACCTGCCTCAGCCTGTGATTGGACAATGGAGAATAAGAAGAACTCTTCTCCGCTTGGCTTCTAGAGCGGAGCCTCTCTATCCAAGTGAGTGTACATAAGTGTATGGAACTGTGTCTTTTCAAATCTATTTAAAGGATAACTAAACCCTCAGGGAGCGGCACCAGCGCTGGACCCGGGATCGGCACCAGCGCTGGACCCGGGAGCGGCACCAGCGCTGGACCCGGGAGCGGCACCAGCGCTGGACCAGGGAGCGGCACCAGCGCTGGACCAGGGAGCGGCACCAGCGCTGGACCAGGGACCGGCACCAGCGCTGGACCAGGGACCGGCACCAGCGCTGGAGGGACTGATGAAAACTACAGGAAAGTAGAAGATGATCGAATCATCATTTAAGGCAAGTCCTTACACTAGAATTGGGGGGGGGGATATCCTTTAATGTCACTTTAAAGCTGTACTCCAGGCAGATATAAATAAACACCAATCAGAGCAGGTATGTATTTAAAGAATCAATACATTTAATTTTTAAGGCCCCATTCACACTTGCGAATTGGGCCAATCACATGAGTAACAAATTCCTCTACGAGACTCAGGAGATCAACTGTGCAATACAATGACATCTGTGAGCGTCCGTGGGTGTTCGCATCTAAATCACACATTCTGCAATTACCTGTGGACAATCTCTTCTGGACACAAACATGGGGACTAAATGCAACTAGTTTGACTTGTATTGCAGAACCAAGACTGGGAGGGAGGGGGGCAGCACTTGGAGTAAGTCAGGTGCCCTACATTCACATCTGCTGACAAACAGGTTGACAGGAGGAGAGTGCAAAGAGATGGCTACATCAGTCTGTTGCTCTTTCACTGTCCAACCACAGACTGGGGGCAGATCGGTAAACTAGCTTAACTGCAGCAGAGAATCGTCAGGTCTCCGGGCTTGTTCACACTACGTCCAGATCATGTCCCGGCCAGAACAGTTTCTTCCAGGACCACAAAAAGCATCCCAATGTATCCCTATGGGATTTCTGGGCTCTGTTCACACCAGTGCAGTCCGTTACAGTCCAGACAAAAAATAATAATGCTTGCCTTATTTTCTCTGGTTTGGAATGCACTGGACTGCACCTGACAGCCCATTTTAAGCTAAAAAACAACACAAAAACAAGAATTGGCAAAATTCTGGTAAAAACATGGCTAAAATATACTGTACTGTTTCCAGATCTGGTCCGGACATGGTTTTAACAAGCCCTCCAGGCTGGATGTGCTGTCTTGGTAGCGCTGCATCAATCTTTTGGACTAGCTGAGCAGAAATACTAATCCTTTGACAAGTAAAAATCACTCCTATACATGTATTTCATCTGTGTATTTATCATTTGCCTGGAGCTCAGCATTAAACTATCAGTAAAAAAGATTTATTTCTAAATACATCTAATGCTTTTGAAGGCCCCTTGTAACATTTGGTGCATCAGGTGATTTTTGGAGGAATAAGATAAGAGAGATACCTAAAAGGAACCGCCATCACCTTCCTTCACGATACGTAAATATATTGGTCAATTTGTAAATGTCATCCAGTTATACCGAGCTCTTCAAAAGAGTTACAGTGACCTTTACAGTAATATGTGATGTGTTCCATGGGCATGGTTTTATTAACCTCGGAGAAACCATTTTCTGATTGTTTACACGGGGGCAGACGGGGTTGTCTCCACATAACTGGAATGCATTTGAGTTGCTTACACATGAACTTTGTTATTGGCCAAAGGATTTTTACTGCCAGACAGTACAGCTTGGTCAATGACCTCACTTTTCTGCTACTACATTTAAGCAATAGAGCTTGGACACACCTGCCTCAGCCTGTGATTGGACAATGGAGAATAAGAAGAACTCTGACAAAATCCTCACTCTGCTCCGCTTGGCTCCTAGTGCTGAGCCTCTCCAAGTGTGTGTACATAAGTGTATGGAACTGTGTTTTGTACATCTATTTAAAAGGAGAACTATGAGGCGAGTGAAAATCATCGGGAAGTGAGCGAACACATACCGTCGCTCGCTCACTTCTCGATCCTGTCCCTGCAGGGATTCCCCCCCTGTCTGATCCTCCAGTGCTGACTGGCGGAACGGACTGGGGAGGGGGCGGTTACAGCTGGCTCTGCCTCTAGATAGGCAGAGCCAGCTGTCAAATCACGCAGTTGGGTGGATCCAGACAGTAATGTCGGGATCCATCCTGGCTGCGGCGTCTCAGTATACTGCGAGCTGTAGCTCGCCATATACTGAGCTTTGGGTGACGGGAGGACGCTAGTTTGTGTCCTCCCGTTACCCTTAGGAGAACTATGGGGAAAAGCACTGACCCCATAGTTCTCTTTTAAAGCTGTACTCCGGGCAGATATAAACATCAATTTGAACAGGAATGTAATTAAAAGATTAAATAAATGTTGGTTTTTTTTTAAGGCCCCATTCACAATTGCGAATTGGGCCAATCACATGAGCCTCACAAATTCCTCTACGAGACTCATGAGATCAACTGTGCAATACAATGACATATTTTGGTGAATTTGTAAATGTCATTCAGTTATACCGGGTTCTTCAAAAGAGTTACAGTGACCTTTACAACAAGATGTGATGTGTTCCATGGGCATGGTTTTATTAACCTCGGAGAAACCATCATCTGATTGTTTACACAGGGGGCAGACGGGGTTGTTTCCACATAAACTGGAATGCACAGGCT